GTGGGCTCTGGGGTGGGGCAGGGCTGGAGATGAATTTGGGGTGCAGGCAGGCTGCTCCGGGACAGGGGCCAGAGAGGAGGACTCCCCCCAGCCCCCTTCCCTGCTGGCAGCAGCAAGCTCTGGGGGAGGAGTCCCCCTTTTCTGCTCCCCCAGCAGCACACTCACCCCCACCACTGTTACTGCATGTGCTCCTAGGGTCCCTCTCAGGTCCAGGAATCTTCCTCGCCTCCCCCATGGTGGGTGCCAGGGGGTGCTGCCTGTGCCTCCTCCCCTGCTGTTGCCCCTGACTGTAGCCTCACTGGGGGTGAGGGATGGGGCTGCCTCCTTGCCCAATATGGGGCAGGAGTGGTGACTGCAGGTGGGGGGGCGGACTGTGCTGCTGGAGGGTCCCATTGGAAAATGAAAGGGCAGGCTCAGAGTCAGTCTGCCCTGGCAGTAGAGACGGGGGGTGCTAGGACCCTGCGGCAGCAGTTGCTGCAGGGGAGAGACAGGGACTCTCTGCTCCGTTTCCCCCACACACACACTCGCCTCGCCCTTGTTACGGCACTGTGCAGAAAGCAGGATTTGTCTTAATTATTTCAGAGGGCTAGAAGTAGGTATGGACCCAAACCAAAATCCTTGATTTAAATACTCCAGTACTTTGAGAAAAATTCAGTCTGGATCTAAATTTGATTCCAGACTCCTATTTTGCACCTGCATTCTATCCCTATAATGGGCCATATCAAACATGCAAATCCCAACACCCCACAAACTTTGGGATCTAGGTGCAACTTTTCTGCACCCTAGTTCATAGAATCATAGAATATCAGGGTTGGAAGGGACCTCAGGAGGTCATCTAGTCCAACCCCCTGCTCAAAGCAGGACCAATTCCCAACTAGTTAGGTGTAAATTGGCCAGGGGGAAGATTTGGGATTTGAAATCAGAGCCACAAAAAGGCAGAAATCTGTTCTAGATGGTGGAAACAGTGTAGGACAGAATTTACTGTTCAATACAAAGAGCTAAGGGGTGCGAGGGAAATCACAAACATTCTACTATATAAGAAAAGCAGGGGATGGGTGGAGAAAACAAAGAGGCTAATATTCAAATAATAAGTGAAAGAAGACTGTGGATAAATATTGATGAGGAAACCTTGTCCTGAATTCTGAAACGGAAAGAAAGCCAAGAAAGAGTACTGAGAATTGGGTTGATGTATTCCCACTCTTGGATATAAGTAAGTAGAGCTCTGCAAATCCACGGATATCCGCTTCATATCCATGGACCATTTTTGCAGATATTGGATCGGATGCGGATACAAAAGGGCTCTACCAATGCGTGCTGCTGCTGCCACCGCTCAAGCCCCGTGAGCAGCATGCGATGCTACGCCTCTTACTCCGAGCCCCCCATGCCGCCCCTTACCCTCAGTCTCTGCCCTCCCGCCATCTCTTGCCCCCCTGCCCCACCCCACTTGCTCATCTCTACCCGCGTGACTCTCCCTCCCCGGTCGCGGGCCCTTAGGGCTTTTAAAATGATGGGGCCTGGCGGGCGGAGTGGGGCAAGTGCCCGCGCCTTGAGCCTGCTCCCTGGTAGTAGGGGGGGTATTGCAGACTGCAGGCCCCATAAACCCCTAATCTGCCTCTGGCCCCCTTGTCCCTGGTTCCAGCACCCCTGACCTCCTACCATCCAATGGGGAATTTGCTTGGCAGCTTCCCTATACCCAGCGTGTGGCTCCCACTCTGCATTTTGCATTCCAATGGTGATGGATCTCAAAGGCAGGGAAGCAGCTGGCTGCAGCTCATAACCTATGAGTCACATAGGCTATGATCTGCACACCGCTGCTTCCCCACCTTTGAGATCCTACTTCCAGAGAAGATGGAACTTGAGTACAAACCTCTCATGCCTTATGTGATGCTTGCTGTATCTCCACATAACTCTGCAAGGGGGAACATACAACCTAGAAACCCATATAATGCAGCAACCACACCACCACATCTCATCTGTCTAAGGGAAATAAAATCACTGGAAATACCCCAGGCATGTAGTTCTTGGAGGCATGATCTGGTGCAATATTTGTTATGTTTTGTGCTGCCTGTATGAGAGTATTCTCCATCCTGATGTGCTGTTCACAGGCTGCACTGTGTCACTCCTTCCAAACACAAACACAGCCGTGTCCTTCAGTGATCACCAGGAGGTGCTTGCCCATTTACAGTGGCAAGCCTCTGACATAGGAGGCTGGCAGGGGTCAAGGAATCCACTGGAAATAGTGAAGGTTTAGTTCTGGTGGGGCAACTTTGAACAACATATAAAAGAGCAGGACAAATGGAGCAGTATTTAATTTAGCTGAGAGAGGAAAAAGCTATTCCTGAAAACTGCGATTGTCTGATTAATTTGGTTACTTTACCTATAGCAGATATTTTAGAATACTGTATCTGAAATAAAAAATATTTTGCTTTTTACTCAGATCAACAGCAATAATATTCTTTTCTAGTTGATACAGCAAGATCAAACCAAAGGCCAATTTGGCAGCTTCCTAAGAACCAGAACCCATGGTGCATAGAAAGGGAGAAAATGCAGTCTCCCTCACTATTGATACGTAGGAATGGCCAACAGACCCTACAAATCCCCTTATGCAATCTATTTTGAGTCATGCTTCTTCACAGACCACACCTCCTTATTTAAAATGAGGTTAGCCACAGACTGCCTATTAGAAATCTATGGGCTGAATTTGGATCATGAGATGTATCTTATCCACCCTGAGATACAGAGGCAGTAATTTAGCGAAAAAATGCTTAGTAGATAGATGACTAGTTTCTGGATTGATTTCTATCATCAAGCCCATTCAATCATGCTAAATTTAGCCCTGTAAATGTATTAGGTGCGTAGATGCTTTTAAAAATCCCAGTAGGCACCTAAATACCTTTAAAAATCTGGTCCCTACCTCGTGGAAGCACCAAGAGTTTTGGAGGGATCTGAATGAGGGAAAAGTAAGGGAATGTCTACACTGCAATCAGCATGGACTTCAGTGCGGTCTAGCTGTCCAATTAAGTACCCAGGGTCCCAGGTAGGCTCCTACAGCCCATGCTGAAGCCCATGATGCTGTGGATTCACTTCAGCTAGTACACACACTAGCTACATTAAAAGCTAACTCAGGTATGTCTAAACATGGTGCAATCACACCTCCTACTGTAGTGCAAACATACCCCAAGAGCTCATTTCAAGTGTATGGACAGTGTGGAAGAAAACATGAGACTCACAGACTTTAAGGTCAGAAGGGACCATCATGGTCATCTAGTCTGATCTCCTGCACATTGCAGGCCACAGAACCTCACCCACTCACTCCTGAAATAGACCCTCTAACCTCTGACTAAGGGCTGGTCTACACTGCTGCGCTAGTTCGGCGGCTGGGGATCGAAGTTCCGAGTTCGATTTATCGCGTCTGGTCTGGACGCGATAAATCGAACCAGGAAGTGATCCCCGTCGACTGCGGTACTCCAGCTCAACGAGAGGAGTACCGCGGAGTCGACTGGGAGCCTGCCTGCCGTGTGTGGACCGCGTCTGAACCACGGTAAGTTCGAAGTAAGGTATGTCGAATTCAGCTACGTTATTCACGTAGCTGAATTTGCGTACCTTACTTCGACTTGGGGGGTAAGTGTGGACCAAGCCTTAGTGACTGAAGTCCTCAAATCATGGTTTAAAGACTTCAAGCTACAGAGAATTCACCATTTACACTAGTTTAAACCTGCACATGACCCATACCCCATACTGCAGAGGAAGGCGAAACCCCCCCAGGATCTCTGCCAATCTGACTGAGGGGGCGGGAGGGGGAGGAAATTCCTTCCCAACCCCAAATATGGCAATCAATTAAGACCCTGAGAATGTGGGCAAGACCCACCAAGCAGATACCTGGGAAAGCAATATCTGCAGTAACTCAGAGCCCTCCCAATCTAGTGTCCCATCTCCGTCTGTTGAGGATTTTTGCTACTGGCAGTCATTGATGGGCCACATGCTATTGTAGGCAGTCCCATCATACCATCTCCTCCATAAACTTAAGCTCAATCTTGAAGCCAGTTAGGTTTTCTGCCTCCACTTGTCTCTTAGGGTAGATGTATGAAAGCAAGTGTAAAGTCTTGATGGCAAGGGCAAGTTTTAACTTGATACAGAGAGCAAGGGGAGCTAGTGCAGAGATGTGAAAATGGGGCTTGCGTGTTGTGACTGGAAAGATAATGTGTGTTCTGGATGGACAGTGGGAGTGATACCCTACATGACACAATCATGTGAAGAGATAAGGGAATGCGCAAGTGTTTTAGCCAGCAGAAAAGACAGGACGGACTGAATTTTTATAAATTGTGAAAGACGTAGTGGCAAGACTTGGTGATGGCCTAAATGGGCAGGGAGAAGGAGGAGGAATTAAAAGTGACCCCCAGGTTGGAAGCATGAATGACAGGCAGGATGTCAGCAACCACAGAGAAAGTATTAAGAGTTTGGTTTTGGTCATGCTTATCTTGAATTGGAGACAGGCCACCCAAGATGATGTGCTGGAGAGATGGTCAGATATGTAGCACTGGTCAGAAATAGTACGCAGAGGTAGACTGGTGAATTGGTGTGAGGAGAGGACATCCCCCATGAATAAGGTGTAGGGAGAAAAGGAAGGGACTGTGGACTGAGGCCTGTGGTACTCGAACAGAGAGGGGGAAGAGAAAGAAGCACCAAAAGAGATGATGAAAGGAGCAGTCCAGGGGTGGGGAGGAGGGGAGGAATCTCATGAGCAGATTTTGAAGCTATTCACACCAGTTACTTAAAGATAGATTTTTCCTCTTCTGCTTTATTAAGAACATGTGGAAGTAGATCTGACTTCCTACCGCTTAACAACAACTGATTTATGAACCATAGAATAAGTTATCCATTATAAAGTATAGCATAACTACATGTTAGATGCTGTTAGATGCTAATTTTTTTTCAATCATACACTATGCCAAAATTTATGCTAGTACTTTCAGTGTATAAACTTTGCATGGATTCCTTACCTTTTAAAGCTTCATTGATATAATTTTGTATGTAATATACTCTCAGTTTATCTTGAACCATATTCTGATCATCATCAATTCCATTGGCTGTAATATAAACTGGGACATCCCCATACTTGGATTTAACCCACTTGAGCATTTTGCGCAGTCCCCAGGGCACCACAGCGGCTCTGCTTGGGGAGTTCAGCCATGTGATGTCTTTTATCATTTGAACTTGAAGATAGTGATCATACTTCAGTGCATCTTCTTTTTCCGAGTCCACAAGAATAGTGGTGTAATGACTTAAGGCAAAAAAATCAAATGAGCCTTGGATTAATTTCTTTTCTTCTTCAGAGAAATAAGGCAAGTGGAAATTGTATAAATCAATGCTGTTTCTTTGGTGAAGCCATTCTCTCATCACATGTGGATAGTCACCATTCCCAAAGATGGGCTCAGCAAGCCAGCCAATGTCAAATTCTAGAACTCTATCAGCAACTTCTTGGTCATTTTTGGAAAAAGGACAGGCTGGCTCTACCCAATCAGCTTGCAGAGCTATAGATATTTTACCTTTCTGAGATCTTCTAAATTCTTTGTCATACACGTGCCAGGCTTTAGCATGGGCTTTCAACAGATTATGCCCTGCAGAGTATGTCAGGTTCCTCACATAGGGTTCATTCATTGTAATCCAAAATTTGACATGGTGGCCCAAACTTTTGAAGCAGAGCTTGGCATACTCAACAAAGGCTTGAACAGTCTCTGGGTTCTCCCAGGCTCCATATCTGGCTAGCACATCAGGAAGCCCTTGGTTCTCAGCCATAGGTTGCCATAAAGCTACAACAGGAGTTATATTAACTCTGAGAAGTTCACTAACAAAACACTGATAGTAGTGCAAGAATGTGTGGTTGATTTGAGACAGGTTACCCAAAGGGAGAATCAAAGACCATTTCAGTGAAAAATGAAAATGCGTGACATGCATTTCCTGCAGCAGCGAGATCTGGAGCCTGATGGCAGCAAAGTCAACACAGTGACGCTTACGTTTTGGGGTAGCAACTCCATCAACTTTAATAAGCTTCTTAGTGTGGTGAACATCCCACACATATACATTAGTGTCAAGGAATTGGGTGGGGGTTGTGTCTACCTAAGAAGGGAAAAGAAACACACAAGATTCAATTTGTTAGTTCTGATTACATAGAAAATTCATAACCATCAGACAAGGTTTATTAAAAGATAATCACAAGTAGAATATTTCTTTTAATTGATGCTGCCTCCTAAGATGAACACATTTTCCCTTTTAGCATCTCTCTCATACATCTCTGATGCCATCTCTGACTCATATGAATGAATGCATCTTAATATTGTGAGGTCCAGAAAATGCCAAATATATGTAGCACCTTCACCCGACTTTTATAAAAAGCAATGTACTAGCGTATGCCTTCTGTTTACACTCTCCCCACAATGCTCAGTTCTGTGAGGGAAATCAGGGGCTGCTCAGGGACAAAAAAGCAAATCCAGAGAAGGATAATACAGTAAAGTCTGTACTAATTTTTAAAATAATTTCTTTAAAGTTTAAAAGGCTATATTTTAGGGCTATTTGTACACTATACATTACCATAAATAAGCCTTCCTTTTTCCTGTAAGGTGGAACAAAATAAATAATAAATGAAACATGAAGAAGAATTAAACAGTTTCCTTATTTGAACCTGTGCTAAAAGAGAAATATGTCTCTGAGCTTGATTTTCAGCATGAATACAATTGACGGGTAAGAATTTTGCTTCTTGCTAAAGAAATGTCCTTTAACTGCATTAGCATATTGAACTAAAAAGTTCCTTCACTTTTACAACATTAAATTGGTTAAAATAGCATGCTGTTGATTTCTGAGTCATATTTTTGCTCTGATATCAGAGTTATGCCAATGTGCATCACTCCAACAATAAGCAAATTTTCCACAAATCTTTTGGGCCTGAGAGGAACACCTGCATTACCCACTGAAATCAATGAGAGTCTTACAACATCACATTTTCATTTTTTAATAAATACCATGATCATAAAAAGGACTCTAAAGGGAGCGAAAGAGTTACTTAGAAGGTTTTATTATGTGTATTATTTTTTTTCTCCTTCCTAGTCCAGTTTACCTTTCAAAGGAAAGACCCAAACTATAAGACACAGTTCCTATATATACACATCTACCTATGTCCACTATTTTTCTTCTTAAATTAACCCTCTGGGCATAAGTTTCCCTGTCGGACCTTTTGTTTCAAAAGCAGGGTCAACCTAAACCCACTGTTGAGCCTGTAACTGAGACTGTAGAATTGTGCAGAGCAGCTGCAGATCACTTGCTCTTTTCTCTGGAGAGGTCAGTGTTGTGCTTACAGAGGAAAGCAATAAAAAACAGCATGTCAGAGGGAAATTGCTTTTCTGGAGAATTGTCCCTTGTAGATTACTAAAGCATGCATTTCCACTAATACTGTGGGAATGCTGTCAGAAATGTTTTTCCACTATGATGCATCTACAAATCATTCTACCTCAGCCTTACAGCACAAAATGTTTGAATATCCTTTTGAAGTGAAAATATCCAGAGTTTTAAGGGTTCTTTTAAGTGTCTTGAACTAACAGACTCAGTAACTTTACAACTGTTATTGATCCCAAAGGTAGTAGTGCCATTTCCAGTCTCAACTTATTTGGGACCAGAAGGACAATGATTGCTGAATTTTCTTAAAAATCAATGCATCAGATAAGGAGGTTGCAATGTTTCTCAATAGTGTGAAGTCAGAGCTTACTTTTAGGGTATGAAACAAAACAAAACAAAAAAAACCCAAACCTATGCTCCAGCTCATAGGTGCTAGAACAAGGGGTGCTGCACCCCCTGGCTTGACGGGGTTTCCATTATATACAGGGTTTACAGTTGGTTCAATGGCTCTCAGCACTCCCACGATAAAAATTGTTCCAGCATCCCTGCTCCAGCCTTCAGAAAATGTCTGTCTTTGTGGAAAATCTAAATTAAAAATTTTGCTCTTGGATCCAATCTGAGAGCTGAATTTTACATTACATCTTTATTGTGGCTACAGGAGCCCTACAGACCAAACAGTATCTGAGAATTATACAGTCATATTTTCAAAGAGACCACAACCTGTCTATAATTTTTGCATGTGAAATGAAGGCTTTAATCGTGAAGGGTTGTCAGAAGTAACAGATCTAGCTGGAGAAAAAAACTGAAAACTAAGAAGAGGCTCTCAGAGAGGTTGGTTGCTACAAGGGGGCAGTGATGCAGCAGAGGCAGAGACAACACTGCACTGCTGGCAAATGAGGAGCACAGCAGAATTGTCCATTCCTGATACAGAGGTACTTTCCTGTACACTTTCTGCTTCTTTTTTTTTAGCACAGAATACCACTAACAATGATGCTGTAATGCACATGCAGAAAACATGAACACATTAGGAACAGAACCGAGCAAATAACAGAGTTTTCAGTTTGGGGGCTAACCAAAAAAAAAAAAAAAAACTACAATGGAGCCTGGTTCAATTCAGAGCAAAACAAATTTTTTCAAAATTTAAAAAAAAAAAATCCAACCCCCTGATACCCCCCACAAAAACCTCTTAGGTTGACTTTAAGCAATTTATTTTTGTTTTTTCAATTTGTTTTGGTCATTTTCAGGTGTGGTTTTTTAATTGGGCAAATTTGAAAACAAGACTCCGTTTTGAAACAAAAAATTAAAATGAAATGATTCAATATGATTAAACCAAAATATTTTAACTTTTTTGAATTTTTCCCCATTTTTGGGGTGGGGAGATGGGGGGCAAACTATTCACCAGATTTGACCCAGATTTGCAAATAGTTTCATAGCCCTGAAAAATGCATTTTTCTGTAAAATTCCTAATGGCAAAAAAAAAAAAAAAAAAAATTCACCCAGCTCTAATTAGGAATGGCTTTTAGAAAACATGAGTAATGATGGTTTCGTGACTTTTAACATTTCCAAATACAAGGATATATTTAAACAAATTTCTTGCCATTAAAAGGAATAGATTTGGATCATAACAACCAAATATGCTGCTGTTAAAACTATGGAGATAAAAATGCCACTTGCAATATTTGCCATTTTCATATATTAGTATCTTTGTGTGGAAGTGATGAACTTAGTAGATAATTATCTTCCAAAATGCATTTGAAAAAGGATGTATTTTTGTTAACTGAACACATAATAAGTGTTCTAGGAAGATGGACATTAGATCACATTTTCTGTTTTTTGTTTATGTGGTGTTTGTTTTTAGAAAATCTGTTATTTATGATATTTAAATTTGGATCCGCTTTCATGGTCACATTTAGGATGCCTGGTGAAAGCTGGGAAGATATTCTGTAAAATGTGCAGCTTTACTAAATTGGTGCTCCCACTACATCATTATGGTAACAGATCTTATATCACCCAAGTAAAAATGATTATATACTTGCACAATACAATTATTATATACTTAAAGAACAATTTGGTTGGAGCATCTATTGACTGTCATCAGACTTACCTGAACGTAGTTATCAACAATTCCCCAAGCAAAGTCGCAGGGAAACTTCCCAGCTATGGGTTGATTCTCAGGCAAAGGCGGGAAGCCATTTCTCTCGATTAGCTTTTGGTAGAACAAAGCTGAAGACTTTGGCAAAAACTTCTTGTCATGGCTTTGAAAATCAACATAAAATAATCCACGTCTAATGCTGTATCCTCTATGCCATTCAAAGCCATCCATGAGGGACCAAACGGTGTACCCAAAAACATCAACTTCATCATATCTGATGGCTGAGAGGAAAAAAAGCAAGATGACCTCATATTGCTCATTTTTTCCAGATAGAGTATACCATTTAAAAAACGATTCTAGTATTTGAGCATTAGAACAATGTAGTAGGATAAATAAATGTCTTAAGGCTTGATTCAAATTCCATTCAGTGGAAGTCCTTCAATTGACTTCAATGGACTTTGGATCCAACTCTTACAGTTTACATCCAAGAAGTTATATAGAAACAAAAAAGTTACCCTGAAGAAATTATCATGAAAAATTTAACACAACTTTTTGGTGTTCTTAGGGATTTGCATTAACTATCCTGGCAATGCGGGTGGTTGTGATAATGCTGATGAGACTTTACTCATTTGATTTTACAGACCCCCTCACATCTGGTCTGAGAATACCATTTTCTGGAATAAATATCTGGCGTTTATTAACCCTAAAGTAGGTTGAAGGCCTGTTACAGATGTAAGGGTCGTACCAGCATTATTATTGTTGTGACAAGTTCCACTCTGTGATTTAATTTGAGGTTTACAAATGGTTTGCATTTCTATAGATATTAAACACTTAGAATCAGCAAAATGTTCTTAGAGAGGGTCCCGATTCAACAAAGCCCTTAAGTGTGTGTTTAATTTTAAGCGCATACTTAAATCCATTCCTATTTAGCAAAGCATTTAAGCACATTTTAAAATGCTTTGTTAAACTGGGGCCTGTATCAGTATCCAGCACAATTTAGCTTTATCACTCACCACCGTATGTAAACACAAATTGGATATCTATTGAACTTAACATTACCCAGCCTAGTTACACAAGCCAACATTTTACACAATCAAATGTCAAAAAGTGTTCATATTTCCTAGTTTTATTAATGTATCTCATTACAATCAGATATGAGGGGCCAAACTGATTCTTGATGTAGCATCGTTTGAACCAATTAAACAAATGGAATTATAAAAGAGCTGAATTCGGCCGTCTCTTTAATTTGCCATGATAAACTCGCAAAGAAACTGGAATATTTCTTTCCCTAAAGATTAGTTCTTTTCTGTTTGGCAAACATTGATTTTTTTTAAAAAAAGCCCTCCACATTCACACAACACTTGCTGTTCTGAGAGAGTAAAAGTCAGGATGGATTCACATTGTTAACTAGCATCAGCAAAAATTTCTCTTAGACTAGCATTACACACCTGCTGCAAATCAGCTGGGAGAGCTTCCACATTGCTTTTCGGGCTCACCAAAAATTCTCCTAAAATCCCTCCTTAAAAGTTTACTGACTTGTGCCATGTTCTCTATGAGAAGTGAGTTAAAAAAATTTGGAAGCAGGAAAAAAGTCTCAAATACAATGTAACCATCAAGTAGTGCACATGCCTTATCAAGTAACCACATGACTTATTGATATTACTTTTATCTTCCTTCATACTTCTCCCCATCTTCAGGGCAGGAACCATATCTTTACTTGTTTCTGTAAAGGGCTTAGCAAATTTTTGGCATTCCAAAATAATAGTAGTTCTTGTTATTTATTATGAACTTCTTGGTGACCGAGTGGCAAATTGAAAGGGAAAATATAGTCTATAATTTAATATGTTGCCAGTAAGCCCTAGTCACACTCAGAGTGCAGATCTATGTATATATATCAATAATTTTATTAAATTGAATAAACAACACCTTTTTGTTAACAAGAATATGACTATGTAGTTTCCATATAACTCCACACACACCTCTAACACATTGTATATGCAATAATTAATAACTCTAGTATATACTATCCCCCAGACTTCAGATACAACATTGGTTTGCATGTTAATTCAACTTTTAGTTTAGCTGTAATAGTGAGGTATTTGGAACAGCAGCTGAAACAAATGTAGCAATTCCAGGATCTTTTATCCCGGTTGAGAGGCAAATGGAAATCATCTTCACTAAACCATTAAAGGAAAATTCCATTGGAACATGAAAGCTATTTAAACTGAATGAATAGTTTATTTCAGCTACTAATATTTTAAAAACCCTTGAAGCAGATAACAGAGAAATAAACCAATTATAACATGTTTTGTAGAAATAAAAAGTACAGTATAATAAAAATAATTATTAAGGAGGAAACAGGGAACAGTCATCCCAATAAGTTGTTGTTGACAAGCCGGACTGAAAGAATCTACAGTACTTTGCCATTAAAGAAGTATTAGAAATGGGATGTGTCAATGTTATAAAGTAAGTTGGGTGGGGGGGGGGTGTCATTTTTTTAAATCTAGGTTAACAATTGGTAAAAAAAAATTAGTTAAAATAATTTTATTTAAAACTTCAAAGGCCTGATTCTCAGACCAGTGTAAATCAGGTTTAGTTCCACTGAAGTCCACAGAATTACACTGCTGTAAGAACAGAATCAGGCTCCAAAACTACAGGGGAACCCCATTTATCCGAGCCTCCATTATCTGGCTCTCCATATTAAGCAAACAACCAGCACACACACAGGATCATTACAAAGCATTAAAATGTAGCCTCCTTATTTATTTACAGCGTACACAAACGGTTACTTCTAGTAAAGAATACTGTACCAGTTTTTAAAAATGCAGAAATAATAAACTCAAGCAACTCAAAAAAAGTATAGTATTGCTGTTGTTGCAACTTAAAACTATCATTTTGGCATTTTTAGAAACTGGATCTCTTTACTAGAAGTAACAGTTCATGTACGCTGTAAATAAAGAAGGACGGTATGTTTTAATGCTTTTCCAGGAAGGGTCAGCTAGTTTAAAAGCAACTCTGCATCTTAAAATAATGGTTAGAAAGCTCTTTGCCCATTCTCTGGATTATCCAAATTTTTGATTATCCGATCTGTGTGTGTGTTTACACACACACACACACACACACATATAATTCAGCTAACATATTAAAACTCATCACTGGAGTTTTCCTGTAATGATTCCAAGCAAATCCCATTGATAACTATAAAAACAGCAATGTTCACATAGGGTGTGCACTTGCTCTTTCTGAAATCAATTGAAGTTTTGCCATTGGCTTCAAGGAGAGCAGGACCAGACCAACAAAATCCCATCCATACCACACATTAAAAGGCACTTGTCAACAACTGATAAAAATGAACCTAACTAACTGATTTGAAGTCTCATTTCATAGTGAAAGTCTAGATAGATGTTAAAGACCAAAATTAAGTTTTGGAGCATTTGTTTAATGAGCTTTAGTCGGACATTTTCCATAAGTTTTGTCAGGAGAATAATATTAATTTGTCAACTAAGCTACCTTTTAAAGTTTCCATAATGAACTTCTTGAGATAATAAATATACTTGGCATCATCTCGCTTGGTGCTACCAGAGACAAACCAGCTGTTCTCCACAATGAATATTTTGGGCTTGTTATATTCACGGCTTATCCAATAAAGGAGCTGCCTCAGGCTTAGTGATTCCAACTGATGGAATTTCATCTGAGAATCCAAGAGCTGGAAACTCAGTGTTGCTCCAAAAGAAAGAGCAAAAAAGTCAGCTGTTCCCTTGATGTACTTCTTCTCTGCATCACTGAATTCAGGCAGCAGAGATGAGAGGTTACTCTTCATGCTCTGAGGGTAGTCACCATCAATAAATATGGGTTTAGCAAACCAGCCCAACACAAAGTCAAGGGATTTTTGACATTCTTGTATGTCTTGTTCAGTCATAGCTTGAGGTTTTATCCAGTGGGAGCTGAGGGCAATGGACACTTGGCCTCCTTGAGCTGGACGAAAATGATCATTGTAGAGATGCCAGACTTTGGCGTGGGCCTGTTGAGAAGAAAGATTATAATGAATGCATCTGAAATTCTGTCTTGAATAACAGAAATGCAATAGCATATTCAACCACTAATGTTCAGGTTTGACTAGCAATGCTTTATCCTCACATCCCTAGGCTGTCTTATTCCCTTCTCAGTGATTTATGATTGCTAACTTCTATTATCCTAATCAGAGTAGATAATATTACACTGATCCAAGAAGAGCTTGTTTTGGAAAAGCAGCAAGAGCTGCTTAATATGGTGTATATTCCATGCACTGAATATAATGCTGGTTTTTCTGATCTTTTGAAAAATAGTGTTTTAATTTTACAAGGAAACCTGGCTTTGTACTTACCTACTGGTATGAGTGAAATTTAGGCTTTGGTTTGAACACATATATAAAAGAGAAAGGCCATTTTGTCTGATATCATTACTTTTTAAAGTTTTGCTGGTTTTAAATTTTATTAAATTGGTAACAAATTACATCTTACAGTATTATTGGCATCATGAGATCTCAAATAGTGAAAAAGTAAGAGCACATTTTAAAATGTATTTGAAAAAACATGTTTCAGATTATATTTTACATTACAGGAGTCTTAGCATATTACTGTTTTAGATTGGGTGTGTAGAAATTGTCAAAAATTACATTATTACATTTTTAGACAGTTACAAAGTAAGGCAAAACTAGAAAAAAAGCTATGGGCACTTCTTATCTGGAAATGTGGAAAAAATCTGGAGGTCATACATTTAGCGATTAGAGCTGGGACTGGTAGTCAAGAGATGACTTCAAAACTCTGCCATCTCTGTCCTATATACAATCCTTTAAAATCTTTTATTTCTTTAATTTATAAATGAATGAATAAATTAAATCTGACTTTTCTTGTTGTTCAAAATAAACTGGAGTTTTCAAACAGATTCTGAATCATCTGATTTAACACTATGCATAGAATCAAGAGGATTTGGAAAAAGGATAGACATGGGCAGGAAGAGAAGCAAGTGCTCCTTCACACCCATTATATATGAGTTTAAGGCTACTAAATCCAGATGGTCAGGAATCTCATAACCCCAACATAACCCACACATCTCAACTCTGCCCCAGCTCCCAAACACACACAGAGACACACCCACACACTCTCTCTCTGCACCAACCTATTCAGAGCCAAGTAGGAGCCCCATTCTACAATATGCAGGAAATGCAGAGACATCCATGTATAGCCACTGTTTCCAGCCCTTCCTCAGGAGTTAAATGATACAGAAGGCCTTGCACCTCCATCCTGATAAATGTATCACTGATGCATTGATAATTGCTTCTCACAGTTTCATTTTAATACAGAATTATCATTCACAGCTTCCAGTTGCAATGAAATGCCAGTTTTATTAAGAACTAATTGTTTAAATGTCAGATTGTCATCTCTATTGCCATAAAAGATAAATTTAAAAAACATGATTAACTACTGAGGGTTAGGGTTAGGTTTAGGGTTTACTTTTACAGTTCTTACAAAATCTTAATTCTCACTGCTAAGCAAAAAAGCAATTAGAACTAAAAGGACAGTTAAAGTTATAGATAATAACTGACTTCATGTGTGTTTTCAGTTATTAGTATTGTACCGATAATTAAAAATAGCAAAGATATAGTTATACTGTTTATATAAGTACAATGGATTGTGAGAGAAGTGAAAATTGAGAAATAGTAATTCTACTTCAAAACCTCACAGTACAGACATATCATCTGAATTGCAGAGACACAAGACAATTTTGCCATATATTGTAATCCCATCCTGCCGACAAAAGAAGAAAATATCATGGTGTCACGCTGTCTGGAGTTGCTAACTACCATGAGTGCCTACCTCAGGGAAGACTATCAAAAATGGGCAGACACCCCAAACTAGTGGTATGTTCTATAATTAGATTTCCCCAACCCAGTAACAAATGTGAACTCCTGGATCACTATAACAGTCTTACCACGGAGTTCCACACAGTTCTCCTTTGGGCTCTCCAGTCTATTTTGCCACCCAGGCAAGATAGACTATGTGATAAATGGTCACTTACACCAAAAATCACAAAATATTCAGCAACAGAGGGTCCTGTGGCACCTTTAAGACTAACAGAAGTACTGGAGCATAAGCTTTCGTGGGTGAATGCCCACTTCATCAGACACAATATTCAGGTTACACCCAGTCCCAAATGGACTAGTCACTCACCCGGGTTGATTTGCATTCTAGATCTCACACCAAAGATAATGCTGGGAGCCAATTCTACAGTAAACTAACTAAAGGTTTATTAGCTAAGAAAAACAAATGAGAGTTATTGAGAGGTTAAAGCAGGTAAAAATATATGTACATGTGAATCACAGTCTATAACAGTGGTTCTCAACCTGTAGCCCCCGGGCCGCTCGTGGCCCAATGAGCACACAGCTGCGGCCCATGTGACATCCTCAGAGCCATACAGATAGTATATGTATTGTGTAGATGCAGCCCACATAACACAGAGAGCTGCATAGGCAGCCCACAATTTAAATAGGTTAAGAACCACTAGTCTATAATTTCAAAAGGTAGCAGAGATGTAATCTGCCAGTTTCCCAAAAGTCTTTTAGGGCTACCCAGAGTAACTCCAGGGATCTCCATCTTCTTTTCTGTTATTTTGCCTGTTAGAATCCAAACAAAAGATTTTTTCATGTGTCCATATTTATAGTTTCTTTTCACAGAAACTAAGCTGACAGAACAGCCCCCACATGTGTCCTTTCTTTCATGATGGGGAGAGAGGAATGTACTTAGAGACTTTGACCTCACACACAATGATCATATGCTTTCCATGCACAGGAATTAGCACTTTCCTATTAAAGTTCTTCATTTGCATTACACAAGGTTTCTTTCTCATTTGATGGGTTACTTAGTTACAGGGGTATATACACAACGCAAATGTTTGCTATTACATTGTAACAGGGTACAGATAAGCGAAAACAAGGCACGCAACATTCCCCCAGTTTTTCATGAAGTTTAAACTCTAAACACATTCTTATACATTTTAACATCTACTTTGAATTATACTAACACACAAGCAAGCTGGCCTGGCTTACAGCTGTGAGTTTGTCAGTTCTTAAGCTAGCAACTGCGGCCTTGGCCAGAGCTGGCACTTAGCTTACCAGCATCACGCACAGCATGAATATCTTCTTGTGACGATGACTGTAAATATGATTTATAAAATACTATGAGGTAGCAGATATGCATCATTAGGTGCTACTCTATGGAATGTTTGAATGTATGCTGCTGACAGCCAGCTTCAAAGTCACCCTCCCTCCCCACCTGAAGACACCAGCATCTGAGCAAGGAAGCCCCTGGTCAGGTAACCCACTCTGTCGCAGACACCTTCCCTTTGTACTATCTCCTCCATAAATCCCCCTATGTTTCCTCATAATAGTGGTATCTATTCTCCCCATGTGACTCATGCCTCCCACCCCATATCACTGACCTGATACCTGGAGACACTCACCATCCACGCTCCCAAAGATACATGACTTCTCTATGTCAACCGAGACCTATTTCTATGTTCAAAACACCTGTATCCCTATACATGCTGTCCTCCTGTGGAACACTGTCCCCTCCAAGGTTATACGGGGATTGGCCCAATATGTCCTGATCCTTTCCCTCTAGGGGAGCAAAACAGATGCCTCCTTCAGATAGGTGCCAACTCCAGGGGTGCTCCGGGGCTCAAGCACTCACAGGAAAAAAATAGGGGGTGCTCTGAACCCACAGGGTCAGATTAATCTTTTGTGGGCCCCAGCATCTGGACTGTGGCCTCGCCCCCAACTCCACTTGTGTTCTGCCCCAAGGCCCCACCCCCACTTGGCCTCTTCCCCCCGAGGCCCTGCCCCCACCCTGAGGCCCCATCCCTGCTTGGCTTCTTCTCCCCGAGGCCCAGTCCCCACTCAGCCTCTTCTCCTCCAGGCCCTGCCCACACTCCACTCCGAGGCCCAGCCTCCAGCCTCGCTCAGCCTCTTCCCTCCCAGGCCCAGCCCACCACCTTCATGTGGGGGGGAGGGGGGGAGAGGGGCAGAGAGGAGGTACCAGCAAAAACAAAAGTCAGCGCCTGTGGTCCTGCATCTTCATATCCACCTATCCCAAAACAAAGCCAAAGATGAGGGGACTTCTCACAGCTCAATCCTTTCTTCGTAGTAAAGAGGAGAAAGAGGCACTGTACAGTTCACCAGTGGTGAAAAAAAGTACAACAATGGCCAGCCAGTAACATTTTGAAAAAGTCGCATTTATACAACAAATGCCTGCCTTCCTCAGTTTGCCTGGATAAAAGGAATGAGACTGCTTTTGTGGCAAAAAATCCTAACACAGAAAATAACATACCATACATTCATTCTAATGATAATGGACGGAGTGCCAATCAACATTACTGGGGTATTTGGGTATAGTTTGGTGTACTGAACTTGGGAATTTCTGTAATTAAAGGCTTCTGGAGATAAAGCTGCAGGAGGCCAGTGACAGAGCAGAGACAGCTGGTAGTAAATGTCTATCTGTTCCTTTGTCCTTATTTGACATCTCAACTCCTGATAGTGTAGCAATGGCAAGCAAAAACTAACCTATGGTTCATGCAATTCAGTTCATGGTTGAATGCAATTAAGACCACCAAAATCCACTATTTACTTGTATTAACTGATACTTCTACTGAGCCAGGTTTGTCTAGGCATTTTTGAGCTGGTTGCTCAACTTGGCATGAGCTTGGGCTGATCTGGAATGTGCAGTGATCATACCTTTTATATTTTGAAAGGAGGTACCTCACTAAAATGGACTTGTTACAAACTGGCCCCCTGACCCACGATACAGTCACCAGTCTGTTGCAAGTGGACCCAATCGCTGGGTTCCACATGCTTTCAAGCTACCTGAGTCTGGATGTAGTCTAGTCACCATTTCTTGCTCTTGGACTCTAACGCTCACTCCTAGGTTCAAGCCTCTAGTCTGATACCTTTTTGGGGGATGTGAAACATTCCATCCAGCCACCCTAGAC